AAGGTGATGAGAGACGTCTGTCCCTCAGAACACTGTCATCTCATCCTCCTGCCTAGTTTTACATATATAATTTTTATTAAAACACAGATACACTCATTCTTTCATTTATTTTCTATGACTGCTTTCCCACTGCAACAGCAGAGTTGAGTATTTACAAAAGGAACCTTATAACATACAAAGACAAAAAATATTTGCTATCTGGCCGTCTAAAAAAAAGTTTGCCACTCCTCCCTCTCAGAATATCCTCCCATTTCACTTAGGGCAATGCAAGCTCCTGTAACAAACCCCTAAATTGAAATGGCTTAACACATTTTTTTTTAAGTTTATTTCTCAATGGTACAATAGCTCAACCAGTGTATTCTCAGGTAGACGTGGATGTTGGGGTTCTGCTTCAAGGACCTAGATGGATCACTGCTCTAAGGTCACCCAGGGCAGAAAAACATTTAGCCAGCAGACAAAAGGAAAAGAGAGTGGACCATGCACTGGAAATTTTTATGGGCTAGATATGGACGGGGCCCACATTATTCCACCTATATTCCATTAGCTAGAACTCAATAACACAGCTGCACCCAAATGCACAGGATATTGGGAAATGTAGTGTACTGGTGAGTCCAGGAAGAAACACAAAGCAGCCTCCACCACAAAAAGTCTCTAGTTTTGACTTCTCAATCCTATTTTACAGCTCATATTCAATGTGCATATGTTTTTTTTAAAATTCCTTAATTGAATTCTTTTTTTTTTTTTGAGATACACACTGAAATATGTACAAGTGAAGTGATATGATGTCATGAGTTCACTCCAAATAATCGGAGAGGGAGAAACTTTCTGAGAATATAGATGAGACAAGATTGGCTATGACTTCTGTTGAAGCTGGGTTATGAGTATGGGAGCATTCCTGATATTATTCTCTTTACTTTTGTACTTATTTAAAGCTTTCTACACTAAATAAATTTTCTAATAATTACTTCTTAATACAGTACTTTTGAAAAAAATAAATATTACACTGAAACAACTCTTTCTTGCCATGAGGTAGTCTTCAGTAAAAAATTGAAATAAAAACAATAAAACCCTGGCCATAATAGACTGCAAAGTTCTCATCAATTATATTAACTATAAGTGTTCTGGGTTGTTGATTATTTTTCTTACTTTCCTTAAATAATCCTGTCAAATAAGCTTACCTGTAGTATAAATGTTACCAATAATAAAAGATAAAATCTGAGAGAATATATTCATATGTCAGACACCTATAGCATAAGCACTCTAAAGAGAGTTAGTTAGGGTCTAAATAAACACCAGATTTATTACATTCATTTTAAAAACACTGACTGAGCAAATACTCTCTACAAATGATGGTACTTAGCTGTAGAAATATACTGATGATAAAGCAGTTGCCCCTGCTTGTACTTGTCAAGATGGATAATAACCTGCTTCTAAGCAAACATCCCCAAATCAATGTCTTTGAACAACAGTGTTACCTTACTTGTATGAGGTTAAAGTAGATATTCCTGGTCCAACAGCTCTCTTTTGAGCAGTAACTCAGATTTGGGGTCCGTCTATGTTGAAAAGAAAGAGTACATGTAGCTACTTATTTGGGATGTTTTATGGTCAGACCAGGAGGGAAAAAAGCTATTCAGGGTCCCACCATCCAATTGTGCCCTGGAAAATCCCTGCTAGCTATGAATCCGGGAAGAAAATTGGATTAAGGGGGTGAGGGGTCAGGGACAGAGGAATGTTCTGGAACATTCTATCACAAAGGTGATCCTGATCCAGGTCTGGAGAGAAGACAGACACACAAATAGACACATTCTACTTAGATATAGTAAGAGCAATAGGAACAATATGAACGGATGCCTTGGGAACTCTGGGGGAGGTGGGATTTTTTACATTTTCATTAACTATTGGTACAATGTCATAAGTGTGCTTGAAACTCAATTGGCTGAGGCTACTAGATTTGTAATTCTTTTTCCCCAAGAATTGTAAGCCAGTGTTCCCTAACTCCTCAAAAGCAGAGCACTGCTAGAAGCCTTAACTGCAACTGTAGCCAGAGAGCACCAGTGTTTATCAATACTGGTTACACCAGCTTCACAGGACATAAACTCACCTGGAATTTGGATCTCTCAGCATGAAGGGATTTTAATATGATTCATTCATGCATTTGTTCAACGTTTTACAAAGACATCTGCCCCCAAAATTCAATTTACAATTTTTTACAACATTTTACAAAGACTTTGATCTCCAAATCTCCATTTACAATTTTACAAGAATGTACAGTCATTGCAAGGGTTTCTTTTCAGAGTTTTTTAAAAGTCATTTTTTTCCTGAGGTCCAAAACTGTGGCTTTCAAATGAGAAGCAAGGTGGTTGAGGTTGACATGTGGGGACTGTGTGTGATGAAAAGGCAGCACACGTCAGCCTCTCCATTCTAATTGAGACCAGCCTGCCTCCGGCAATAGGAAAGTCATTTGTCCCTGTGCGCCCACATCACAATCTGGCACAACTGGATCTGAGAGCCGTTCTTAACCTCTCTCGGGCTACAGGAATCTAGTTTACCATCTTAACTTACATGTTCCGTCTCTTAGCGGATCCTCCTGCCCTTCCTCTTTAAAGTGATTCTAATTAGAAAGCACACAGGAGGATCCTTGTGGGATTTAAAAGCTGCTGAGATCCCCCCTTTGTTCTCTCCTTTAAACTATTGACGGTTATTGTTTCAAATTCCGCCTCCTCCCAGGCCCCTACCACGCTGCAGTTGACAATTATTGGCATCTTAGAGCCCTAGAGATCAAAACGAGACGTCTGACAGGACCCGCTCCCTAAGTCCAAAGCAAGCACCCGCTCCAAACATCTCCCCTTACTTCCTCTCATCTCCCTAAAAAGTACTGAAAAGGAAAAGATACCATGGGCCCTATAAACAGCTGCTAACTTATTAATAAGATGCCCATGCTAGTTCCAATTTTAAAGATGCTTCAGGCATCTTTATAGAGTCAGCTCACCCTTCCTTTCCCCCAACACAAACGCGAGCACCAAGCACAAACACCTTCACCACCGCTATTTAAATTCTGCAAAGTGTCCTACTCATCTGAGGAACTTTCGTGTTTGTCTTAATTTGCTAAGACTTAAAAGACAGTTAAATTAACCGTCAGTTTCTAGGACCGGGAGGAGGAGGGCAGAAAATTCGCCGCGTGGGAGTTGCAGAAGGACAGGCTGGCAAGAAAGTTTTGTTTACTTATTTAATGTTTTCATTAAGGAGAATCCAGAGGATCCATCTCTGGCACTGGGGTCTGGGATGCTAGATGCTCTTGGAAATTTGGGAAATGAATGTGAGCGAACGCCTAGACCGGAGCTGGAATGACTGGGAGGGAAGGGCTGGGTCCGCGGTGCAGGGGAGGAGGGACGAAGGAAACAAGGGGGTGGGAGGCGGAGGAAACACAGTATAAAAGGCCCCGGCCAGGCTCCGCGTCCGCCACTCGCTGCCACTAAGGTAAGGGGGAGCCAGAGCAAAATCAAGAAAGCGGGAAACCAGCGGTGCCACCACGGGACTGAGCCCATCGCCGGACACAGTTCGCTGTAACATCCCAGACTTCAGCTTGATCTCTGAGCCCTTCCATTCGCCAACTGCCCCCTGAAGGCATGACCTGCGCACAGGATACGGAGGCTACAACGGGGTCATGAGGCTGTGGCCCTGGAGTGAAGGCTGCGCGACGCCAGCCTCCAAGTCCCTTCCTGGAGCGGCTCCCCCGGGATGAGCCCCCCAGACCCAAGACTGACAGAACTGAGATTCACCCCACAGTGCCCCACGTGCGTCCACAGCTCCTGAGCCACGACACCAGGCGCCTGTAGCTTCCTGTAGTGACACCTGCTCTATTTAACTAGACCCACGCCCTGCGAACCCGACCCACCTACCTTCCCTGGCTCTACTGGATGCTGCAGAGGCGCTAGCAGCCGTTTCCTGCAATCTGGCAGCCTAGGGTCCAGGAGCAAGTATCAAGATCCTTTCAGAACGACACTTTGTCACTCCCCCCTTCTGTTGCCTGCTTCCGGCAGGGATGCACAGTGGCAGACCGACACTTGGCTTGTCCGGCGCTTCCTGGGCTCTCCATCACAACTCCAGCTCCACTTTGCCAATAAAGGTTTCTAAACTCGCCCAGGCACCCCCTACTCACCCATAGCTCCGAGCTTCAGTGCGCACTAGGTTCTGCCCTAGCCCGCCACGGAGACCTCGGCAGCGCGCACTTGGTACAGCCCGGCAGGCGGACGTAGATGCCGGAGGGGCCCCTCGGCCACCTCCAGTGACAATCTCCGTGTGCCCAGAGCCCCCATCTGGAGCCAGCCCAACCCGGGACCCCCGCGTGCGGGGCGGCGCGGCTGTCGGCCACAAGGACAGCGCAGAGGAGTGGATGTGGCTAGCCGGGTGAGTGGTTCTGGGCGGCCAGGGCGGGGGAGCCAAGCGTGGAGGTAACTCTGGGCCGGAGCTGAAGCCCTCCTCCTCCTCCTCCTCCTCCTCCTTGCCATCCTCCTCCTCCTTGTCCTCCTCCTCCTCCCCGCGCTCCTCTGGCGGCCGCTCCCGCTACGGCTGCGGCGCCGCGGTCACATCTGGGGCGCCCATGTGCGTTCGGGGGCTCGGCTGCGCCCCCCTAGCTGCCGACCACGCAGCCCCCTGCCTGCAGGGTGGCCCCCGGCCCGGACCCGGTCCCGGGCAGCCCCTGGTCCCCGACCTCGCCGCCGCCGCCGGGCAGCTCCGGGGCTTGCTCCGCAGCCTGCTTGGACACGTCCGGCCCCGCGGTGGCTCCGCCGTGGTGCGCCGGCAGCGGTGGCTCCTGCTCCCCCGGCCCGGCGCACCCCGCCGCGCCCAGCGACAGCCCTGCGGGCCCAGGGAGCGGGGCCCCGCTCGGGGCCGAGGCGGGAGCCGCGCAGTCCGGCTCCCGGGCTCCGACTCCTCCTCCCTCCGCGCCACCGCAGCCTCCGCCTGCCGCTCCGGGTCCTAAAGCCGCGCGCCTCAAGAGGATGGTGCGCCTGGCGGCCGAGCTCCTGCTGCTGCTGGGGTTGCTGCTGCTCACACTGCACATCACGGTGCTGCGCGGCTCCGGAGCTGCCGAAGGGTCAGACGCGGCCGCAGGCAACGCCAGTCAAGGCGAGCTGCAGGTGAGTGAGCCAGCGGAGAGGGGCGTGCGCGGCAGCGGGGACTGGGTGGCCGGGTACTAAGCTAGCGCTTGGTGGATGAAAGGAGGCGGGGTCCCCAGGGCCACCAAAGAGCAACTGTTTTGGCAGCAGCCTTGCCAGGCAACTTAACTTAGCTTGAGGCGAGCGGGTGTGTGTGCCTGGAGACTAGACCTGGCTAGGAGTTCTGCTGGACGCACCCTCCAGATCTATCTGTCGTAGGTCACTTACCTGGGCCTGGGAGGAAAGTAGGGGGAGCCTTTGGATCAGCAGAGGAAGTGTGGAGAATGTGCTGCCAGTCTTAGGTTATCCTTTGAGGCCGAATAATGCTACTCGAGGCCGGGCAAAGGGACGCATGGAGATCTTATACTATAATATCTCTAAAGCATGTTTGGAAGAAAGAAGTCTGGTGAGTCTGCCCCTTCAGAAAGCCATGCCAACTATCAGGACATAATTTCCCAAGGAGAATCGCCAAACACCTCCTCCTCGCTGATGCTGTTCCCATGGCTCCTGTCGCGTGCGTTCTGGGTCATGAGGAGGACGCAGTGGGGAGTTGCCTGTAGAGATTTGAGCCAGGGTTACCTTGGGCTTTTAAACTTGAAGCAAAGATTTCTTCCCTGGGATCTTTCTCTTTGAAGGTGGCCTTAGGAATGGAATTCTGTTGATCTATTCCAACTATGAAGCAAGGGAGGGGTTGCTACTGGGCGAGCACAGTGGGCTGTCAGAGGTAATGTGAGTTTTGGTTTCTGGTTGCTTCCTTGGAAAGAGCTGTTGCTGGTGTCTAGGAGTGTGACAACTGTAAACTCGAGGCACCGGTAGAAATGAGCAGGGATTTTCCCAGGAGGTAATGGGGATATTCTCCCGCTCCATTATAAAATCTCCTCAAACCACCCCTTCTGAAACCCTTTACTCTGCATTGTCTAAATAAGCATTATTTGTTGTTCCAAAGGATTTTGTAGTCCTTTGCCTCTACTAATTCTTTTTTTTACATCTTTATGAAATTTATTGTGAAAAAATCTACTGTGAAAGAGACATGCATTCACCTAAACACTTCCATAGCTCTTACTCTGTGCTACTGTTCTAAGTGTTTGACAGAATTTAACTAATGTAATCATAACTCTATGAGACACTGTGCACTAATATCCCCCCTTACAGATTCAAAAACTTAAGAGAGGTTAACTGCAGAGAGGTTACAAAACTTAACAAAGTTCACGCATTCCAAACTCTTGATCGATTATACCAAGTTTTGTCTCTTCCACAGTGTTAGGGACTAAAGCAAGGTCCTTTACAGATCCCTGCACACAAATACAAAACCAGGAATGGAACAGAATACACTCCAAAGCTTAAAGTTCTTTTAAATTTGGGACATATATAAAAATGTGTTAATTTTGTGGAGATGTCACATCTTCTCATGTGGGTAAAAAGGTACAGTGACACACTGAATTCCTGTGGGGAAATTAAAGATACCACCACCTGACAGGCTGGTACACCCACTAATCTAACACTGTAGGGATAATTTTTAATATCTTCAAGATTTCCGGAAGTCGTATTTTATACATGATGCTTTCTTTCCTCGTGGACTCATGAAAAGTCATAAAAATGATGTCCTGAGGAAAAGTACATTTGGTGGGTGGCTTTATGAGGTGTTTGCTATCATTAGAATAACCTGGGGTTGGCCTTTTGTGCTTGAACAGTAAGGTGATGAGAGAAGCAGCTTGTGGAAATGGCACCTCTGAAAGGGAAGTGGATTGAATTCTCAAAAGGAGCATTAGCTGAAGAACTGCCCCAAGATGGCAGAAGAAATGGGGGATTTAGAAAAAATTATGCTCCTAAAAATATCTGGGGTCCCAAGTAGCTGCTAATCCACCAGCTTCAGTTTATCTTGTAATGGTGCTCAGTTATACTGTCCACAAAATGCACACACTTGTCCAAGCAGAATGATGAGTTTAACAGTTTAAGTTCATAACTTTGCTCTCTTTTGTAATTTGTTATTATAAAAGTTTTATACTCTTCCTGACCCACAGTATTTCTTTGGCCCTCTGACTCTACAAAAAGGCATTACCATTCAAATGAAGAGAATATGCCAAGACATTTATTAGTCTTCAGACCTCAGGAAATGAAATTGCTAGTAGCAGGTGCATTTGAAGAGAAAACTATGGACACTGTATTCTTTCTTTCTACTAGAATTTTAATCCCAAGTCTAACACATCTAACCCAACACATCTAAACGTGATGGCCCTATGATAGCCTAAGCTGCTAAAATCCTCCTTTGTAACTAGAAAATTAACCAGTCCTTAAACATCAATTTTGTTCTTCATATCTGACCTTAAGACATTCTAAAATATAAGCTTGGCTTAGTCAGAAATACACCATGGTGAGTTTATCAACCCAAATTATAGCATACTGAAGATTTGGTGGTTTGGACATATCAAAGACACCTAATAAAGCAGTAGTAAGAATAACAACAATAATAACTAAGATTTATTAAGTGCCTTTAATGTGACAGACATAGTTCTTAGCACTTTACATGTATTAACTTTCTTAATCCTCACAAAATCACTTCAATTATGCACTATCATTATCCATATGAGGAAACTGAGGTTGGGTAACTTACCCCAAGCTGCACAGCTGGAATCTTCTTAGCTTGCTTTTGTTATTTTATAGCATAAAAATATTTAAGGCATTCTTTTATTTCAGGTTCTTGGTAAAGTCATGCTGGTGATACACAAAGAAAGCCTTTTAATAGTTTATATTTCCAAATGCATCTTGAGAGTCCTACTGAGTCAAATACGAACATATATATGTATATATGCACATTCATACATTTTATATATGCATACACACATATATAAACATCTATTGTCTTTATTATTTCTGCATGCTAGGGGATGCATTTTTTATTAAGTCATTCGTACATAAATCATAAATACATTTATGCCATTATAGGATTCAATATGTTGATTATTTGTACAAATTGGAATGGATGCATTTTTGACTCTGTAAATAACTTCCCTGATACTATTGGCATGACATTATGAAGTGAGAGTAAAATGCTTTGAGTACATCATCTTTAGCTTATGAAAATAATGATGTTAGTCTTTGTACTGTTTTCGATATTTTTAAATGTTGAATAATATCATATAGTTGTCTGCATTAGCTGCAAAAGCAACATGTAAACATCAATTTTCTTTTCGCTTTTAAATGAAACCTTATCTTCTTAATGAAATGTTTGTCTCATGTTGCTCAGATATTCAGATTAGTTCTTCCATATGTCTTTAATCAATAATAAAGAGAAAACAATCATATGTAATAAAAGATGTCTGGAATACAAAATATTCCAAAATATTGAATCCACAGGAAATAATAATGATATCTCCTTTGTTTTAATTTCAAATGATTGCCTTTCTACTAAATGTCAGTTAGATTCAGAATCATGAATTTCTACATATTTTAAGTAGTAAAGCTAGAACTCATTAAGGCGATGAAATTTAAGCAAAAATGTATATATAGATCACCAAACTGATTATTTTAGCAATAACCTTAACACAAACCAAAGTCTGAAATATACTGAAATGTCTTTAATCTCTGTCTTCTAACTGCCATCTTCATGAGCACCCTCCCTCTTTTATTCCTCCATGGACATTTATAAAACAGCCTACCTTCTTGTATTCACTGCTTTGTATTCAAGAGTTCATCAGAGCACTTAATAGCAGTAGCGGCAAAAGCATAATTTATTTGTAGTTAATAAAAGTTTCTCTCAATGAACCTATCAGATAGATAGCACTTGTATACCCATTTCAAGATGAGGAAATTGAGGACTAAAGAGATATAAGTAACTCGTCCAAGTTAAGTAACTTGCCGCACGGTTGTGGTGGGGTGGAGCCAGGATTCAGACCCAGGCGTTGCACCATAGAGCCCAAGTCCTAGTTCCTATCAATCAACAAGCCTCCTCCAGTTTTGAATCAAGCGAACAGACATTGTGTTTCTTATTTGGTGACTGCTGGCCCATTTTCCAGTCAGGCTGTTTATCAGTAGAATCCTTTATAAATGATAGATAATTGTCTCACTTAGCTATTTCTGCAGAACCTCCCACCCCAAAATTGATTGCCTTTTGCTCTGGGCTCAGCTGGGGGGTTCTTCTGGTGATTTCATCTTAAATGATCCATGTAGCTACCGCCATGTGTTGTCTTGATGTGGGTTAGGTGGTCCAAGATGACCTCTCTCATATGTCTGATGATTGATGTTTGCTGTCACCTAGGTTCTCTCTCTACATAATCTCTGATTCTAAAGAAGGCTAGCTCACACATCTTTCATGGTGGACTCAGAGCACCCACAGAGTAAAAGCAGAAGTTGCAGGGACTCTTGATAGGTTTGCACATCTCTTCCATTGCATTCTATCAGCTGAACAAATTACAGATCAGCTTAGATTCTAGGGGACAGGAAATAGATTTCACCTCTTGATGGGATGAGTAGGAAAGTCACATTGCAAAGGAGCATGTGATGTGTACATGTGTACTGTTGTGACCTTCTTTGTAAAATAGCTACCATATTGATCTTTTGCCTCATCTATGTAGAAACATTTTAACCAATATTGCACATCTTTTAGCATTGTTTATGCTGCCTTTGGTCAAGCAGAAACTTTCCAGTTTTTATCGATTGTATCTTTTCCTTTTTTTTTTTTTTTTGTTTTCTTGCCATACTTAGGAAAACTTTCTTTAAATAAAGACTGTAAAGATCTTTACATATAGTCTGTTCTAATAGTTTTATAGCTTTATTCATTGTTTAGAATTACATTCTACTTTGAATTTGTTTGTGGGTTTAAGATTTAAGATAGAGGGCAGCGCTGTGGCTCAGTGAGTGGGGCGCCGGCCCCATATACTGAGGGTGGCAGGTTCAAACCCAGCCCCAGCCAAACTGCAACAAAAAAATAGCCGGGCATTGTGGCAGGTGCCTGTAGTCCCAGCTACTCTGGAGGCTGAGGCAAG